GCTCCTATAATAAAAGACTTTGAAATTTTGTATAAGTACGAACGTAAATTACTGTTTGACCAGCGGATCTGAAGCTACGGAAGGAATGCGAGAAAAAAAAATCGACATTGCCACGTTTATCTATAAAATTTGCAAAATTGCCAGAAATGAACTATAAATTTAATATATTTTTATTATATATAATGTGTTTAGCATATATTCTGACGTATATTACTAAGGAATTTTAACGTAGTTCATATTGTTCGATATGTTTTATTTAATAACTTATTTCTTTCATTCTGTATAATCTGCTTATTATGAAAGTTGAAGATTTTTCAACGATATCATTGGCAAACCGGCATCGCCGCGCATGGCCGCCTATTCATCGAACATGATTGGCGAAGTACGTCACAGGATTTGTTACCACGCGGTTGCCATGGCTTTTACGCCTTTCCTATTCGCTTGCTTTATCCCCAACTTCAGGGTCTCTTCTGAAAAGAGTAGGAATATTGAATACTATTGAAATATCCAGTGGCGGTGTCATTTTTTTGATCATTATTACTTTATTTCATTATTTTATACTGGTTATCCTAAACTTTATTCCTATATTTTTCGTATATTTGATAGTTAAGTTGTGTTTTATTGTTTTGTTATCTTGTTATAATGTTTTTCGTTCGTAGTTTTTAATTATTAATATCAAGCTTGATCGTATATTTGTATTTTAAAATGAATAAATTTGTTAAGAGTAAGACGCTACATCAAGAGACGTCAGACAAGAGAAATAATAGCTAATTTATATAGGTAAGTTAATAATAACGTGGATGAAATCTCATTTGGTTTATTTCCTTTTGTTCATAATAAGGTTTGCGATGAAGAAGCTACAGAGAGTTCGCTTAAGTTGCCGCTTAAACGTAAACTTGAGCGGATATTTCTTTATACCGGAGTTAGCGTATCGGCTATAAAAAAAATCACACAGAAGATAAAAAAGGCTGAAAACTAACTCCGATAAAATGATATCCAGCTCTGGAAAGAAACGACCACGTGAGACTGCTGTCGAAAAGCTCGACGACTTTTTCGAAGTGGTCAGGAATTTGATAAATAGATTTTATCTCGAATTCAAACTCGTCCCCACAATTAGAAAGCTTTTGCAAAAATTGCAGGAAAATCGAATTTTCCTCTTGCAGGGAAACGCTTAGGGGGTTATTAAAATCAAATTCATTTTGTTGGCGTAAATGTCAAAATAACGGATAAATATTAATGGAGCGGCCCATTATATTGCAGAGAGAGATATAAATATATACGCGAAATTCGAAAATATAGCCAAGTATTATCTATTTGGATGAAACATATGGGTAGACAATGACCTAACCTTTAAAAACTGCTGGGGGAGCGATACCATATTTGGTGTAATAGGCAATATTGGATCTACTGGGTGAGTAAAATTATGTTTTGTTTGCGCTTCCAAAGTTAACTATTTTCAAGATTTTTTTTTGCTGGAAATAGTTATATCTAAAATTATGTATTATAGAAAAAAATATAGTTAGTATAGATATATAAATAAATATACCTCAAGACTCAGTCTTGATCATCTGCTGATGGCAGACATGGTTAGCGAAACGTGCGTCCAGTGTAAAATTAAAAGTGTTTTGGTGTATTGTACTGATTTAGTGTTTTATTTTGCTGTGTAACACCAAAGGTTCCAACCCCCAACTGTAATTATTTCTTCTATTATATTAACAACACAATAATAAGATGATTCAAAATATTTAAGGGAGCTTTATTAAAAGCTTTTAGTGTTTATCTGCTAACTCAACAGTAACGATTCAAACAGCATGAAGTTTTTTGAAAAAAAATATTAATCTGAGTATTATATTTATGATACACATTATTTTCATATAACACCGTACGCCCCTGCCTATTTTATGAATGAAATTGGACGTGTTTTGTTTACAACTGCGTTCCCCTGCCGATGCCCCGTAGCTACAGATCCGTTGGTCACACTATATGTATTAGCATGTATTTCAAGAAAATATTTTAACTTCTACAGGGTTACTCAAAAAAGTTTCAGTAGATCGGGATGTTTTTTTTTAAATGGAACACTTTGTAATATTATTCCTTTGTTCCTAATGGATTAATTCCTTTGTTCCTAATGGAGAATTAAAAAATGAACATATTTTTATTTAAGGAATTTCAAAATTTTTAACGGTTTTGCAAATATTCGCGTTTTAATTAAGGATATGGCTCTTTCAACGATAAAATAGCAGACTAATATTGACACAAGATACAGATTTCGAAATACTTTAAATATAAAAAATGTTCATTTTTTTAATTCTCCTAACAAAGGAATAATATACAGGGTGTTCCATTTTAAAAAAAATATCCCAATTCACTCATACTTTTTTGAGTCACCCTGTAGAAGTCAAAATATTTTCCTGAAATACATACTAACATATACTTTAGGTTGACACTTCTACAAAATTCCTTATTAATATAATTATAATAAAAGTTTCTTATTATAGGGGCTACAGAGCACAGTTACTGAGGCACAGTTGCTGGGCCCGTAGGCAAAACTCTGAACCGTGGCAACCCCTTTTTGCGGCAACTTTTTGATATAAACTATAACATCATGCACAGAATAAAAATAGCTTTAATTTGACATATAAATGATCAAAAAAATTATGACCGCAATCGCGAAACGTCGTCTCGAAAATCAGTTATTAATATTAATTAATTAAACATAGTTGTGGCAACTTTTTGATAGGCACCCTGTTAAAAATGTATTCCCCTATTCATAAGTTTACGGTAAAATTAGGTGTTGATTAAAAATATGATGAGCGTAATAAATTATATTGACTATAAAGACTAAAAAAAAGACTTCTTGAATAGATGTATTTAAAGATTTTATATAGTATTTTTTATGTTTTATTGCTTTCAACAACGGAATATATACTCTGTTTTTTTTCTCAGGTAAGATTTCGACAGACGATGACAGAAGAAAAGCAGATGACGTCCCATACCAATCTATTTATTTTACTAAAAAAAGTTTCTAATCATTTTTAAGTTATCTATGGATGGGTTTAAATATAAATCCGTCATACGTCGTGTCTTGTTGTTTTTAACCAGTTTTATTGGTTTATTTAAAAACGACAGATCGTATTTCAATTTTATTGGTTTGACGGAACGATGAACGACAAACGGACGCCGATGCGTATGAACTCGCCTTTAGATTTTTGTCATTTTTGACGCTTGTCAAAGTCTTGCCAATTTATAGGTTATAATTTTGTGTCAACTTTTGTCAAATACCCTGCGTTTTGGAAGATGATGCATTTTGATTCGTATTATTACGTGTGTTTTGTGTCTTTTGAAGTCAAGTGGAGGAAAAATCGAGTGAAAATTAACTGTAGACCCAGAGCACAGTTTATGTTTAATACTCGCTGCCCAGGCAGAAAGTCTTATACACCAATGAAGTTGCCATCGATAAAGTTTGTATACCATTTCGTCGTAGATAAGTGCATCTCGTATATGGTAGAAGGATCAAACTAAACACATACTAAAAACTGGAGTAGCTGTAAAATATCGAAATCACACGATAGGTAAATAATGGATTTTAGTACTGCAGAAAAATAATGTCAAAAGGTACTGGTTTAAAAAAAATAAGATTAAAGTTAATTAATCAACCTTTAAGGTATAAAATTTGGTAGGTGTTATTATTAATAAAATAGTTTGTTTTATTTACCTATGTTGTTTTATTTATTCCTGTGGAATATTACAAATTTGTATTTGTACATAAGTTATATTGATAAATATAATCATAAATGCGGGTAGTTTCATAAAGCTTGAAAGTAAATAATAGTTCTTTTTTATATTTTTTTGGTATGTAGTGTCTTGTTCTTGTTTGTTTTGTATTAACACATACCGTTTTTATTAAATAAAATAACTCGATTACATTTTTTCAATTTTATACAGTTTTTTCATAATATTTTGAAGTAATCACTTGTCATCTTGTCAATCAAATTTTAAATATTTCCTGCTATGCGTTCCAGTTGTACCAACTTATTTCTTTGTAAAATAAAATAAACTACTTTAAAATTAAAATGACAGACACATCTATCACTGTCAAGGATCTTCTCGTTGGACAGACTATACCTCCTGAAACATTAACCTTTTTTGTCTCTTATGCAAATTTTGTTTTACTAGTAAAAAGCCAGTGACAAGCTGGTTCCCGTTTGGATTCAACGCAGTGGTGTTTACAAATGTAACTTTTTTATTTTGTAAATTTCTTTTCCACTTTTTTCCAAATTCAATCTATTTTCTTTCCTCTGATTTATTTGTATTTTACTCTAATTTTATAATATTATTTCTTTATTGTATAGGTAGTTTTTTAATAACATAAGTAGTATACCGGGTGGTGCATCATAGTTGGAAACATAAGAAATCCCATGCAAATTTTGAACTGTCCAAATATTGGCTCCCCTATTAATTTTTTATCAAGACGTAAATAGTTTTTTTTAAATCTTGCGGTACCTGTGTAAAATAAGAAAGTTGCTGTCAACTTCCGGTATTTCCGGAAGTGCCGCCATATTGAAAATATTTTTAATCGATCTCTTTGTAAAACAATGATGTGCAAAAAATCTCCTATTTAGATGTAGTGATTCTCAAGAAACTTCTAATGTTCGCTCAGTCTGGGACACCCTGTATATTATGATAATTAGCTTGTGAAAAAAGAACTATAATATTTTATTTGAGGTATAGTTTTTTGGTATTCTATCGTGAATTAGTGTTTATTTTACTGTTTTAAACACAAAGGGTTCAAATCTTAGCTGTATAATTCCTATAATATATATTTTTTTCTAGCAATAAGTGATTAAAAGATTGGAATTACGATTATTCATTTACTTTACTTAAAAATAAATATGTTGAAAAATCCGATAAATTGTATTTTTTCATCCTCTTAGCACATCCTTTATGTTACGCTAATCGACTAAGTTGTTCAATAAAATAAGCACCTAAACTCTAACTAAGTGGCCGACTCATTTGCGGTCGTTATCACAATTTTTACATATTCAATTCCTTCCCCTCTATGTCGTGTCAACATAGAAGGACAATATCACCGAGCGTTTCACATTCAAAACGCTTAATCCATTTCGCGCCATCGAACCTGAGAACACCCCGTATATAGCCGGTAAATCACGGAATAAAAAAAACTTCTTAACCAAACGTATTGTTGTTATCCCCATATGGGTAATTAGTTTATCCCTATCTTAAGTGGCAGGTGTCTCGCTCGAGTTTTAACAAGAATTTATTGTATCAAATTGCGTGGTTTTTTTCAAAGTCAGTCCTCTAGCAACACTTTAGCTTCCAAACATATAAAGCCATGACACAGGACAAAAAAATCATCGTTTTCAATAGAGGACCGCTCCTCAAAATCCGATTCAAAAGGGACTATTGTGGTTAATACGTGTTGATTTCCGTCAACATACGAAGACACAAAATTATGATATCTAGCAAACCGTGTTGATAGTGAATGAACTTCTTGTGCAAAATAAAAAGAAAATAAGGTAAGTGTTTCTATTTTTACTTTGATTTTTATGAAATTTAAAATCGATAAGATTAATTATTGAGTATTTTTCAATTTATTTATTAAAGTTTATGATTCGGTGATCATATGATTCGATCAGACAAAACAATTTCTAAAATCGGTTATGCTTTTTTTGAGTGCAAGCAAATAAATAATCCTACGAAATGTTGAGCGAGGAAGAAAGACCTCTTATCGAAATACAACAGCTTGACGTAGGCACTAGTTCCTCTAACGAGCAAAGAGCATCTTTATTATCGTCCTGTATTATTTTTTAGATACGAAACCCATCGAAAATGTCAAAAAAACAGTGGTTTGTGGTGCTGTGTCTTTACGTCTTGTATCTCTTAGCCGGAGCGGCGATATTCTTCTTTATCGAATCGAGGGAAGAACACAGAAGAGCCGATGATGATAAAGAAGAAAAAATTGAACTAGAGAGTAAGTTGTGTCATTCGGGACTTTGAAATAATTCGAATTATTCGGTCATCAAATGCGATTTTATCTAATCAAAATTATATTATTGTAATAATTCAAGTCGTAGAAATTAAATAAAATAATATATTCAATATATATATTAAGATCTAAAAACGTTTGGAATTATCTCCGTATTTAATTTTAAATAAATATATTTTTAACCTACTTAATAATTATTTCTTTCCATACATTGTATAATACTAAGTTCTCTGATATAGGCGATCCTTTAATTATCTTTTAAATTAATAAATAATTTCGTTTGATTAAATCGCAAGGAAAGACAAACATAAATAAAACTGTAAATATTGTAAACATTGATTCATTAAGGATATTTTAGTTCACAGTTGATATGCCGATTTGGGACGATATTATAATCAATAGTTTATATTGATAAACATTCGATTATTTTTCATTTTTGGACAAAAATTGTTTTTTTTTCTGGAGAATTTTCTGCATATTGTTGCTACCAACTGCGTTGTACTTTTTAATTGTCAATAAGAAGTAATCTCTATTTTTACTGAACTCAATTGATGTAGGTTGCACTGTAGTTTGCTCATGTGTGCCATTTTGGCCAGTAGTATTCTTAGTTCCTCAGTTTTATTACTTTGGAGCTATATTTCATCTATTCACTTCATTGAAATGTCTGAAATACAGAGATGTGACATGTGACTTATTTCAAATATTGATATAAGATTCAAAATACGTATTTTCATCTTATATTTGAAATACTTTTTTTAATTTCATCTTGTATCTGGTAGATACATTTTTTTAGCGTTTTGGTATTTTATAAATACTTAGTTTGCTAAAATACTTTTACCTACATACATTACCAATGCATGTTTTTTATTTTTACCACATTCAATCATAATATGGACTAAAGCAGTGCCGCCAGATCAAAAAATACAATATCCATATTAGATATGATGAAATATCCGTAGATGAATAAAAAATCATCCGCGCCCGCGTATTTATTATTTAACATTTTTATTAACATTAAACCTAAAATCAAATCAAATAAACATTCTAAAAATTACAACATTTCTATTCTTCTGTATTAATGAATTAAAAATGATTTACAGACATGTCAAAGATTTTGTCCTGACTGCAACACGTAAAAATGATCGGTATGAAAAACAAAAATTGAAAACTTTAAACAACAATGGGGAATACGTAAAAAGAAAGACAAAAAACAAACCTTATTATGTTTTTAGAGGCTCTCATTCCTCTGTTGCAATTAGCGATAGTATCTAGCACCGCTGCGCTGCTGGGTAGAAACACTGAACTATTTAAGAGATACAGACATTCTCAGAATTACACGATTCTTGTTCATAATTATTATTAATGTAATAAACTAAATAACTTTAAAAATAAGAAAAAATCTTTCAAAAAGTAAGTATTTTATTTGAATAAAAGTATTTAGAAAATACGTATTTTAGGTATAACATTCTTAATCTAAGGGTATAACTACTCATATAGCACACAATATCCGCAGGATATTCATAGAACGTCGGAATGTCCCATTATAAGATCATCTTATAAAGACATCTATAGGATATCCTCCAGACATCCTGAAATCCTGTAGATGTCTCAGAATAGAATATCCTATGGATATCTCTGTCGTATATCGAATGTACATCCAGCTGAGATATACAAACATGCTCATGATAATAAAATATCCTAGCAATATCGTCTAGATATTTAGGAAAAATAAATAATGTGCTACTTTTTATATTACATAAAATGCAATAAACCATACAGATAGATATACAGGGTGTTTCAAAACAAATGCGAAAAATTTCAGCGGGTGATTCCTTGTTCAAAAAAACAAACTAAACTATCCATATTAATTTTTTTGCAAGTGTTTGATAAGATTTTTCTATAAATTTCCTTAACAAGAATTATAGGGGTAGTTTATTGCAAACCCTTCCACTAATTTTAAAAAAGTGAAAAAATTACCAGAAAGTGTGTTTTCATAACAGTAATGCTTCCATAAAATTTCATTAGTCTATCTCTTTTCGTTTTCAAGATAAAAAATAAAAACATTATTTTTCCGCCATCTTTGTATCGCGATATCTCCCTAATGGTTGACTTTTGACCCAACGTTTATGAAGCAAACTACCCTTTATTCTGAACTAGGAATCACCCCCTGAAGTTTTTCGTATTTGTTTTGAAACACCCTGTATATTACGTCAAGACAACAAAATATCCTGTTGGTATCTTCTGGATAATCTGGATATTTATGAGCTTGGCCACTCCCAGTAATACAGAGAATTTAAAACGCCCGCGCAAAAAATTTCCCACAATCCATCTCGACGGTTGTTTATTTTTGATGGTTTTTGCATCGTGTATTATTCAGTTCTTTGATTTATTGAAATTCGAGGTGAATTCGGTCGTTTGTCGATATTGGATGGGCTTTAAATGACTGAAACTAACAAAACTGGTTGAGTTTGACTTAGTTTTTTCTTATACTCATAGTTCTAGCCTTGTTCTAGCAGAGATTCTATCCTAACCTCAACTAATGTCGAAAAACGACGAACGACTCAGGGTCTCACAATGAAAAATCCTATTTTTGTGTTTAAATTGTGAGTTTCTGGAATGTGTGGTGTTAGAAATTATACCTGTATCCCATGGTACAAAGAAAACAAGGTATGATCGATAGCGGTTCCAATTTCGTTAAGTTTGCGCATACCACCTGTGACGTCATACGCCATACAAAAAAATATCCATATTGTTCAATTGCCACTAATAAAAAAAGACCTAAAATAGGGAAGAATTAGGACATAACCCAAAAAGTTATGTCAAATCATCGAGCTTGACATTTGAAAAATTATTTTCACATTTTTTGTGTCATCTGTTTGACAATTTGAAATTGGCGCGTGGAGCTCGCCGACCAATGGTGCCGTTTATCACCTGTGACGTAATGACCAACCTGCGCAATATCATACCTTGTATTCTTTGTATCATGCCTGTATCCTGTGTGTTAACTTTGATGTAAACTGTTGCTGCTAGACTCCATAAAGGGTAGTATAATCTGGTATAATACCATACGATCGAAAAAAACGCCTTCAGAGGTGGCTTGGAAATGAAGATTGCTGTTATTTTGTATGTAAAGTTATATTGGAAATGTTATCGATCCTAATTTTCAAGCCAATTGAACGCCGTTTTTTTTTCGATGGTACAGTATAAATTGAAAGCTCTTAACTCATACAAATAAACTTCTAAATTTTGACGCAAAATTCATTGACATAATATTTAGGTATATTTTAGAGCTGTTAATAAAAATATCCAATGAATAACGTCAAAATGTGGCTAAATAAAACTAAATCGCGAACGTTTTTCTAAATGAAAACTAAGGATGAAGTAAGTATTGTCAAATAACAGTCCTCATAATGTCCTAAAAATGTTCTATAATGCTCCCAACATCATCCTTGTATTATCCTAGAAATATCCCAAATAATCGTAAAAGGCTTGCCTAGGGATGTCTTGAAGATGACTTTTTTTGTCCCATCTGGATATCCCATAAATATCCTCCTCTGGTTTTTGGATATCCCTAAAATATTTACTATATCCTTGGTGAATATCCTCAAAATATCTATAGGATTGTGTTGATCTATAGGAAGTTTGGATATCTCAGCTGGATGGACATTAGATATACGACAGAGATATCCATAGGATATTCTATTCTGAGACATCTACATGATTTCAGGATGTCTGGAGGATATCCTATAGATGTCTTTATAAGAAGATCTTATAATGGGACATTCCGACACTCTATGAATATCCTGCGGATATTGTGTGTTATATGGGTGTAGCCGAATAACAAAACTAAGGGAGATATTATACACACTAGGGGACACTGTCTGCATACTTTCATTAGTTTTTAGCCTCTCTTTATTTAAATAAAAACATTTTAAGTAAACTAGTAAACTATTAAAACTATTTTATGTTTCAAGGCAAAAATATATTGTTTTTTATATATAGAACACATTATATACAGGGTTAGTCTTAAATAAGTGCAAATGTTTTTAGGGATAGTATATTTCGAACCCAAAAACACGATTATGAGTTTTTTTCGCAAAAAAATAGAATTTTTTCAAAAAAAATTTCGAAATTTTCAAGGTAAAATAACTCGATTATTTTAGAATCTTTTGAAAAACGGTAAAGAGAAAATGTTTCTTTTAGCGAGATCCTACCAGCCCTGAAAATATTTGCACTTACTTCAAACTCACCCTGTATAAAACTTAAAAATACTACTCTTTTAAGGACTTAGAATAGAATAAGCTTAATTGGTCGCTAACATGTGTCTCTAAAGTGTGTAACATTTCTAAATAATATAATTGCCTAATGACATTTACCAAATATGTGCAGAACCACTCGATACCATCGTCTCCATTTCAACACACTGCACTGATTCTAGTTTTATGTAAAAGAAACATATACAGGGTGAGTTTCCTACGATGTTCTCTATGGGTATCTCGGAAACTACTGGAGATAGAAAGTCGGTTAAATGGGGAAAGAATTGCAGTTTTGTGGGGTCATAAATATGCGCCTTTCAGATTTTTGAAAAAGTTCATGGCTTAGTAGATATTTAAAAAAAAACAAATTTTGGCTATTTTAAAAATTGTCCCGAATTCCATAATAATCTATTTTAGACAAAAAGTTTTCATATAAAAGTTGTAGATAATCACATCCATGAGTTTGTGTTCTCCGATTTTTTCTAAAGCGTGTCATTTTTGACATATGACACAAACATATGTTTTTTTAAATGGAAACCATAGTTGGCCATGGCTTCATAAAAAGCGCCATTTTTTAAGCTTTTCAGAGATATAAGCTCTAATTTGTTTCTTTCCACAAAATTACTGAGTTATAGCCAATTTTTATCTTTCTTGACTAATTTCACCTATAGTTAGCCATGGTACAAAGAATACAAGGTATGATATTGCGCAGGTTGGTCGCTACGTCAC